GATTGGTCCACTTAACGATATGTACCAACATGTCGTCAGTGAACAAAAGCTGCCAAACCGTCAACGGAGCTGCTTCTTCTCCATATTCATGAGCTTTTCCTCTTAGAGTTGGTACTTTAATGACTATATTGTGCTTCCTTGTACGTGATGATGGTACAACTTCCGAAATATTCCACCTATGACGATTTTTTCCATAGAAATAATTCTGAGCTGGTAAATCCTCTTCATTTCCTTCGGCTCCGTCTTCTGATAACTCACTATCACTTGTATGATCTGATTCCATGTATTCGTCTTCTGAGGCACTGTCTATATCACTAAAGTCACTTCCTTCATCCTCAAACCATTTTAGAACGGTTTCTTCGAACTCCGGATCATCGTATCGTACACGTTTAGAAGGTCCCGCCATACTCGCAAACGCACCTATGCAACACAAATAGCAAACGGGAACGGAAACGTGCCGTCTGACAGACTGCAACAAACTAAAATTGGTCCATATTTTAAGGCACGTTTTGGCTAGACTCGTGTGAATGGGGGTGGGCGATGGTCACTAATAGCTTATGGATTAGATGGGTTTTTACGTCTGTTAGAGGTGCAATAAAAAAAGATACGCTCAGATATAGAAACGCCGCAGTCTCACAGACGGCACCTTTCCGGTTAAGGGTTAAACCCTTCAAGCTATCTTTGAAGATAAATTGCAGATTCTACAGAAATGGATGCTCTAGAGAATGTTTTTAGTTTTTCGATATCATGCTTGGTTTTTTAACCATAGAAGAATGTACAAATTTAAATTCAACATATTTGAAAACATTTTTGCCGCTGTTTTGACTACAATGGTATAAGTACAATAGAGTGAAAAAATATACAGAAAACAAATAAGTAAATAACACACATTAGTGAATGGCAGTCAAAAATAAACAAAAATTGAAATATAAAAATAGGCAAATATTTAACTGAAACAAACATGCAAATTAAAATAGTGCTGTGATTAAAATATATAAATAAAATAGATGATATTCAAAAAACGGAATATAAAAATGAATAAGAAAGGTAACTGTTGAAATTGAGACATAGGATATCACAGTGATGACTGCCATAAACCGTATTGTCAGAATTACACATATTGGTCGTTCGTCAGGTTATCTGACTAGTACTCATCCAAAGAGTAATACGCTTTACTTTTTAATAGTACCTCAAGTTCAAGTTTGAAGTTAGTGAGTGGCAGGGCTCTGAGGGCGTTTGGCAATTTGTTGAGCGACCCAACACCCATTTGATTCGGGCAGCATTGTGTTCTAGACAATATGTGCGTGAGAATTTCTTGTTACGTACCTATTATGACCTTTCAGCTTCGGAAAATCTTCCAAATTAGACTTTACATGTAACAATAGCTCGAAAATGTTGGTAAAGTTGTTTGAAAGGAGCTCTACAGCTAGACCGTCTGCTCAAACCTAGAAGTAAACGTACCATTCTTTTTTGCATAGTGAATACTCCATTTAAAAACACCCCAGTGTATTATACCATATGATAAAGTTGATGTATATATGCATAGTAACATGTAAATAGCAAATATTTGTCAACGAAAAAACCTATATAACCTATACAGTATATGTAAAGGGCAATCTTTTTTACAAAAAAATGACAATGCCAGCCTGTTGAGTGGAACCATCGAGTGACTTAACCAGCCAGTAGAGATTGGAGTTGGCATAAGTGAACCTAACAAACTGGGTTTTATTGGCGTTGAGCAGGAGCCCATTATTTTGACACCATTGCTGTGTTCTTTGTAGTTCTTCAGTAGGACCTATCGCTAGAGATGTTAAATTTTTGCAATCTACTAATAAAGACGTATCGTCCGCATATACAGGGTGTCCCGAAAAAAGTGTGCAATATTCTTCCAGCGGTTTCTAGAGCTTAAAATAGGAAGAAAAGTTTATATAAACATAGGTCGTCAAATGTCCCCTAAGGGCGATACGGTCTTTTAAAGGGGCTGGCTCCCTTGAAGATGGTTTTTCCTTAATATTTCCGAAACATGTTGAGATAAAGACATAAAATTTGGTATTCTAGCCTAGTTTCTTATGCTGGATTTAAAAATATTAACATTTTTAGACAGTTTTGATTGGAAGCGTATGTAACAGTGACGGACTCAGGTTATTTTAGCCCCAACATTTTTGTGTGATTCTATTTTTGAAATTCAATTTTAGAATTTGAAAATTTAGAAAATCAAAGAAGATTTCCCAATCGCATAGTAAATGGACGTCGAATGTTCACTGATATTCACTGGAATTTGTCAAACCATGGACGTTTTCAGCGCATGCAGGGCTCAGGAAGGCCACTGGGAAATCATCGTATGGATATTACTTTAAATATGTTTGAAAATAATCCGCAAATAAGCATACGAAATGTTGCAGAAAATATGGATATACCTCGATCAATAGTAAGAAAAATTTATGAATACCTATTTGATAGTTATCCTAAAAATAATAATTTTAGATAGGAAGAATGACAAGAATGCAAGGATTACATCCTTATCATTTTAAACGGGTGCAGCATTTAACGGAGGCAGATTTTTTACCACGAATCGAGTTTTGCAAATGAAAACACTATTCCTAGAATATTATGGTCGGATGAGTCAATATTTACTAGAAATGGAGCTTTTAATTTCCATAACATGCATCACTGGTCAGATGAAAATCCAAAAGTTGTTCGCCGTACAAATTTCCAACATAGATTTTCATTGAACTTATGGGCAGGAGTAATTGGGGATCAAGTAGATGGGCCTATTGTACTTCCCAATCGTCTTAATTCAGAGGTGAATCTGAACTTTCTTCAGAATGAGCTCATGGATATAATACCATTGGATGTGCGCCAGCACTTTCAAGAAAATATATTTTGGTCGCAATGTTCGAAATTGGTTGAATGTCAATTTTCAAGACAGGTGGTTAGGCCGACGAGGTCCTATAGCGTGGCCGCCACGTTCACCTGACCTAAATCCATTGGATTTCTATTTTTGGGGGTCATTAAAAGACCTAGTTTACTCGACTGAAGTAAATACTCAAGAAGATTTACTTCAAAGAATCCATCAGGCTGCAAATGAAATATGAAGAAAAAGGTTTTCCACTTTTCGGGCTACGCAATCATTAGTTCGTCGAGCGAGACTCTGTATCCAACAAAATGGGAATTTATTTGAACACTTATTGTAAAGCTAGTTTTAAGTACCTATATCCAACTGTATGTCTTCTTTTTTAAACAAATTTCAATTTCGTTCGTAGAAAAAATTTATTTCTTTTGTTTTTACCTAAATGTTAGCTATGTTGCAATAGAAATATGTATTTATGTAATATTTACCAATTATTAAATTAGTTTTCTCGTTGCCATGGCTAATTATGCAACAATTCATTTAAATTCGCAGTACATTTCCTATTATGTGACAAATTTTTTAGTTTGATTTTATTCAAAAATGGCACAATTTATCGATATTCAATAAGAGTATCTTTTATATGTAGAAAACCATAAATTTTGAGATTCTAAAATTGAATTTCAAAAATAGAATCACACAAAAATTTTGGGGCTAAAATAACCTGAGTCCGTCCCAGTTACATACGCTTCGAAACAAAACTGTCTAAAATTGTTAATATTTTTAAATCCAGCATAAAATACTAGGCTAGAATACCAAATTTTATGTCTTTATCTCAACACGTTTTGGAAATATTAAGGAAATACCATCTTCAGGGAGCCACTTTAAAAGACCGTAGCGCCCTTAGGGAACGTTTGTCGACCTAGGTTTATATAGACTTTTCTTCCTATTTTAAGCTCTAGAAACCGCACACTTTTTTCGGGACACCCTGTATAACATAATTAGGGCTACTGAAGTCATTCACAAAAATTATATACAATGGTGATCCCAAGATAGAGCCCTGCGGAATTCCCTCGTTACGCTTACGGTTTTCAATTTCAACATACTGCGATTTGGTGGGTTCCATAGCATTCAAGTTTTACCAACAGCCCATGATTTGTATAAGGTCGAATGCTTTACTCAGATCAATGAATATCCCAATGCGCTTCTTGCCCATATGAATATTGCTTTAGTTCAAGAACTTTATTATTCCTGTAGTAGTTGACCCTGCAGAAGCCCTACTGACCTGCATTAGACAATACATTTTCATTGAAATATTTCACTATACTGATTGCAATGTACTTATCGAGCATTTTCACAAATAGACTGAAGTTTTCTACAAGACTGAAGTCTCCTTTTTGAAGATGGGAATTATTTTTGCAATTTTCAAACAACTGGGAATCTTACCCTCCTCCACAGTTCACCAAGTAAGCAACTACTCAAGCGGCACGATTCTTCACGTTTTTGCTCATGCCATTCTCATTGTGTCAGATGGTTTCAAATCACTGATCATATCCAGGGTGTCATTTCAGATGCAGGGTAGAAAAACATATTGCTTGGAGTAATTGACGGTTAATGCTGTCCAGAAAGTGGCTATTAAAAGCTGTTGATGCATGCTGAGAATTATCAGTTAGTGAGTTTTAAACTGGTAGGATTTGGGTTTTAGTATGTTCCACGCTGCTTTGGATTTAGTTGTTGCCTGCTTTAACATGCAACTGTTGCATAACCTTTTTATTGCACGTAGCAATTTCTATAAGTCTTTTCGTATAAGTTATAAGAATTTTTCATATCTGCATCTGCTCAATGTCCTTGATTACGAAGTAGGACACTTCCTCATCGGGCGGCGTTAACTCTCTCAGAAACGCGATGGGTGGCATTATTCTACTGACATTCCTGCGGATTTTGTTCTTCTGAGCCTTTCTCCATGATACGGCCTACGTCTAGGTCCTCATGGATGCTTACTGGAAAGCCACATCTAAAGTTGTATGTCTTACTGGTCATAGAATTTCTTGTCCAGACAAATGCAAATATAATACCTAACTATAAAATTATAACAAAATTTTCTATTGTTTCAGATTTCCCGTCCTAATGCGTCGAAGGTGAACACCCCACCATGAAACCAACTAGCTCCTCAGCCAGAATGGAGCCTTGCATACCACTCTTGTTGGCCTTGCTGTTTGCAGGGGGCACGCACGCCACTGCTCCAAAGACGGTCTCGGTCATACCCCACGATGCGCATCCTGGATACAGCATCAAGAAATTCGACAACGCTGCAAATCTCAAATTGTTAGAGTCAGACTTCTCGCAGTTCTTCACCATGCTGCAGGATGGCTCTATCATGACTGTCTCAGATGTCAGCCCTTTGGTCAACCATCCAGTTGATCTGGTCGTGCTGGAAAACCAAGGAAACGCTTCTACTACGCATCTTTTGAAGCTCTACGTCTTGGACAGAAGGAATATGCTGATGTTCAAGACTGATGGGATGGAAGAGATGTTAGGAAGATTATCTGAGAATCTCCCAGCCGGTACAAGAGTCACTGGGATACCTTTGCTTCAAGCTGTTAGTGATAGAAGTGATTTGCCAATTACCTACAGTATCATTGCTGGAAACGTCAATAATGCGTTTGAGCTTCAAGATAGTTCTACTGGGATCTCTATGCAGAATGTGACTGTTAAGGATGGAACTTCCGGGGTCTATATTGTCACCACTGAAGTCTTGGACCGAGAAGACGTTAGCAGATATGTGCTTACCATTCAAGCTTCAGACCCTAGCGGAATAAACAGGGCTGTAACCAACGTTGTAGTGACTATTGAGGACGAAAATGACAACAGTCCAGTATTTACACAGAAGGTATACAGATTCGTTGTTGGAGATGACTCAGTTGAAGGTGATAATGTTACAATGACCTGGAAACGATTCACCTCTATAGGCAAGGTAGAAGCAACTGACGCTGATGGTGATAAAATAGCTTACAAACTAGCAACGCCTACGAACTATCTGGTGATTGTACCTCAAACAGGCGACCTGCTTCTGACCCAAGAACCAGCCGAAGAAACAGAACTGGAGCTGATAGTAGAAGCCCACGATATTCGAACACCAAGTCGTATTTCTCCAAGACCAGCACAAGTCATCTTCCATTTTAAGCCCCAAGAATGCTCAAAGGTTGACCTTGATGACCTCCAACATCTTGAGGAGGTCCAACTGCATAGGGTTAAAAGGAGAGTGACCAGAGCAGTGAGGCCAACGAAGAGGATCGAGTTTACTGAGACTGACGGCGAGACTGAAGGTCGCGTAGTGTTCCAACTGGAAAAAGAGACTGATCGCGAGACGTTTAAAATTCGGGACGAAAACCCTTGGGTTACGGTCGATCCCAATGGGTCCGTGCGCGTTAAAAAGAAGTGGGACTATGAGGAGTTGGGACCGGAGAAAACTATCGATTTTTGGGTGACCATAACTAATGCTGAAAAAGGAGGTGAGTAGACCTTTATGCTTAAAGAAGAATCTATATATATATATATATATATATATATATATTAACGGGGCTCCTACAATCACGAGCACCATCTGCTGAGGTAACGGGGGGTGAAAAGGAAACGATTGTGGGCTGGTCTAAGACGGTGATCGGCGCTACTTTAAAAGAGGAAAGGATGACTGCGGGTGCCTACCGAGGTAAATTTTTATAATAACAGAGTCGGATTTCGATTAGCGATCTAGCCTGTAAATCGTTTCCTATTTTGGTACTCAGCTAGTGACCATTTAGTATTGTTCTACCCTTGTTACTGTTCGTCGATATTGTGTTGTTGAATTGTTGTGTTGTACTCTTGTTGGTGTTATTGTTCTTGAGTGAATTTTTTATCAAGGTTGATAATGGACAATAAAAGGTAATATGCGACAATTTTAATTACGCATTCAGTGGCTTTAATTCATGATGAGGACAACAATAGTGTGGGGCAGTTTAACTCTATAACCGCAAAATACATTGAGGTAAGCGAATAAATTATTGCAAGAAGGGGGCATACCATGGAAGATGTGCTGCAGCTGTAGTGAGCCACAATACCGAGCGGCCTGTCTATGTGGTCCAAATACATTTGCGTTCTAAGCTTAGTCCAACCTCGCATATCACTAAGTTGGAACTAAGACTCAAACGCAAGAATCTTGAAAAGAAACTCAGACCAAAAAAAGTTGATATAAAAAAATAACTAACAATTTGGAATTGCTATCCAAAGAAAATATATAATAGTTTTATTTCGAATTTTGTCAAAAACCTGACATGAACGACATTGATTTGGAGGTTGCTAAGCAAGAATTTTCAGGGAGAGTTAGAAAAAGTGACGAGGAGATTTTGCATATCGAACAAGTCACCAAATCACAGGACTGTGCTTTGTGGCGTCTTCATCGGAGGATAAGGATGACAGCGTCTCGATTTGGTGAAGTTTGTAGAAGAATGCAGACAATAAGCTGTAAAGTTCTAGTAAACATCATCATATACCCAACAGAGTTTTCTAGTAAGGCAATAAAAAAAGGCAATAAAAAATCATTGGATATGGCAGTTCAATCTTGTGGTTTGTTTATTGATCGCACACATCCATTTCTGGCAGCATCACCTCCATTACAGTAGACAAGACATGTACTTAATCCAGGTAAAGACTACCTGTTTATTGCTTTGCAAGAACTACCTAACTGTTTCCTCTTATTTTGACGGCATAAGATATTTTTATGACCCTCGTTCAATTGTTACAATCTACCACACGACCCTTGTAAACATAATTGTGTTTAATGACATGAATAAACGAATTAGAATTTGAGTTCTTGAATTTATTTTAGGAAAGATATAAAATTATTTGAATACATGTTTTCTTAGTCGGAACGCACCGTCGCGTCGCTTGGACTGCCAGGACGAAACAGTAGATGAATTTCGCCCAAAAGCAATGAAACTCTTGCAGCGTGCTAAAAACAAAGTCCACAGGGTGCCAGCGATCCACTTTTTCGATTTTATCCACTAGGATCTTGAGCACAAATAGGAGTGAGCATTTCAACCCACCATAATTCTTGCGCAAAGACAAAATTTTGTAAAAGTCTCTGCTAGCACCCTAGTCAATTATGACCTGCTTATATCCAGAAAAAACTCAAAAACTGCAGAACAAAAGGTAACGGCGAAATGGGTACATTTCACGGGTTATGAAATTCAAATGAAAATGCAGGTATAAAATATACCAAATGATCGTTCTCAAAAACGTATTTCCTTGACATATCGATAATTTTAAAGTTCACGCTAAATTCCCCTATACTTGACTGGAGTGATATCCGAATTTATTCTTCCCTACTGTCGGTAGTTGCAGATCTGTTGGCTATTCGTGTCAAACCTATAGAGAAGGTACCGATTTTTTGAAATCGTGAGCACATTATTCGTCGGATTTTTGATACTTAAATTTCCTGTAATCACTGAAATCAGAAGCTTCTTAGTAATAGAACGTGTTTCACTAACTTCAACCCCCCCTTTTTAAGCAGTACATTTTTTTATGTCAATGATAAGGAACCCCTGTAACGTCAAAAACGGAGTTTCAGCAATTGTTACTTTTTCCTTTTTGCCTATAGCACCCTTGTCATTGGTCTAAAACTACAAAGCTTTGGCATACTAGTAATCCCGTGTGGAAATTTATAGTGATGTAGTTTTTCGTGATGTAGATATCATATGACTTAAAAAAACATCACATCTCATTTTAGAAATTTTCCGCGATTACAATACTTCCTGGCCAATGACGTGGGAAGTAAAACGGCTTTAAAATCGAGGAGTATCAGCGATCGCGATTATAAGTACCTATTTGCAGAACGACTTATCTACGCGATATTATATGAAACAGGGCCACCAAATTATCTGAATACGTCCTTTCTTAGTCCGTACATTGCGCCGCAACGCTTGGTTTGGCAGCACGACACAGTAGACAAAATTCGATTTGTAGAGGTTTGCGCGCTTCGAAATTGACGCTTTATTTTTTGATATTTTTGGATGAAATTTTCACAGAGTGCTGAAAACAAAACCCCACAGGGTGCTATAGAGCCACTTTTTAATTTTTTTCACTAGGGTCTTTTTGAAAAAATCGCGAATTTGAACAGAAAAAGTGCGCACTTAAACCCATCATAAAACTTGTGCAAAAACAAAATTTCAAAAAGTGCTACTATAGCACCCTGGGCAATTATCTTCTCAACATACTGTATGAATTTCATTCAAAAATATTGAAAAATGGAGTGTCAGTTTTGAAGCAGCTTGTAAATGGCATGAAACTCACTGCGTCAGAGCCGCCTTAAGGGTTACACGTATCATCGAAAAGCTGGATAAATCGAATGAGAAAAATGGCGTAAAGTAAGTTTACTCTGCAGTTTCCTCGCAACGATGTCATCAGTTCATTTAATTTCACGTTCTGCAAGTTAGTCCCTCTGACAAAAAGGTACGAACATGTTTATAACACAACCAAATTAAATGGATCAGATGAGCCAAACGGACCTGCTCAATAAGTTCACGGTCCTCACACATTTGATAACGCTGCGATCTAGAAATTTCTTCCCTGCACCACCGACAGTATCGGCCATCTGCCAACGTCAGCCATGCAATGCTGGCCAGTAGGAGTGGTGACCGATGGGTGATTTGACAGCAGACAGAGACATAATTTTATGTGCACCGGTATACGTTATTAGCGTATAGGAAGTGTGACCGAGACGCGACGCGTCTGTTAAATAAAGTTTCTCTGTGTTGAGGACGAATTGAGAAGTACGACATCTAATCAATACTAAAATTTTCCGGAAAATAATCAGGAGCTTCTGAAATGCCAAGAAGCAACGGTTAAGAATTTTTTTAAGTTCTTTGCTCCTCGCCTCATGCTTTTCGAAAATTACATAGGTTTTGTCGTTCTAGGCAAAGTAGTAACCTCGTGCGAGAGTTTTATCAAAATCTGAGCGGTACTTCCCAAACTACGTATATAGAGGAGTGAAGGATTAGCTGGCAGACAGACAGACCGACGGATATCGGTGATATGATTTTTCGTGATCTACCTAAATGTCATGTAACATCCAAAGAACATAATATCTCAGATTCTAAAGTTTCTTCGTTTACAATACTTCGTCGCCAGTTGGCGTGGGAAATAAAAAGCGTCAATAAAACCTATTTCTATATGGTTTTAGTTAGATCTCCGAGAATATGACTGTATATGTTATATTTCATCAAATTGTCTGAAGAGTTATGATTTTTTTTTGAATAGACGAATTCTCAAAAAAAGTTTGACATCCTGTATTTTCGGAATGGAGCATTTCCAGACCCATACTTTACTTCTCTGCACTGCAGGATAAAAAACAACAAAAAGAAAATGGGTGAACATTTTTCTTTCGGCATTTTCGGACTTTGAAGTTGAGTCATTAATTTTCAGATAATGATTGTAGAAGGAAGATAAACCAAAATATGTGTGTAAAAATAAAAAAAAAATTACCTTGTTTTATAAAGTATCCTCCCAACAAGTATTTCAGTGCGGACCTGGATTTGATCGCGAGGTCTTGGAGCACCGGCATGCCGTCTTAAGTCACCTGATTCACGAGCCCTTTGTACTACATTAACAAAGGCACGAGGGGTTGGTTGTACTCGATTGGGAAACCGATCCGCATAAATCCGTGATGCCGCTGCAGCATTTTGTAAAGACTCCCCCCGTAAATAAGAATCATGTCCACAAGTTCAGCATTTTCGTAAACATGTGCCATTTTTTATTTCGTTTGAGCCACGCAACAAACACCACTATTCACTCACGCGTTACCGACTGACACATTGACTGAATACAACTGAATAAAATTGTAGTAAAAACATCGTGATAAGCTTTTCAAATTCTTTCGCTTTTTTGTTTCCGTTGCGATGAACCGATAAGGCGGATTATATCCGTTGTTGCCAAACACGAGCACATAATATTATTATTGAGACAGGGCGGTACTCAAACTTCTAAAGGGCTATAACTTTGTTACTTTAATTTTATCAGAAAAATGTATAAAGGAAAAAAAACATTTCTTTTGATCCGATCTACTCACTGTTAAAATAAATGACTCAACTTCGAAGTATAGGGTTGAAAATTGGGTGTCGTAGATTTTGCTTCTTTGATATCATTGATATTGGATCCTTGACAGCCTTGCACTTAGACATCTAGTCAGTATTCAATTTATCATGATCACCAACCTTAAACTGATTTGCAAATTTAATTTAGGGTGGAGTTTTTTAATTTGAAGTTTAACACCCCCTATTGCCAATCATTCTTCTACGAGGCTGGTTGCGGGTTTCCATTTCCGACTAATTTTCAACATGAAATTAAACAACTCGTAAATTGGTGGCAATGTTCTCTATTTGCTACTCTACTCGTTTTCAACTGAAAATGTCGACGAAAGTGCATAAAATTAAATAGCGTTGCTCGGAATTATATTGAATTGTATACCAATATGTATTCAGGGTGTTT